TACTCTAATATTATTCTGATAATAGTATATAAATCTTAGTTGTAAAAGGGTCTCTTCTGCAGGTTTGTGGTAAACGACAGCCTCTCAGAAAATGGGTGAGAGTTAAGATCCTTAATCAAGTGACCTCCCGAAGCCAGAAGATGGAGCTGGCTCCAACTAGCAGATGGATGCAGCTACAAGATGGAGTCTGAGAAGCGAAGCTGAAGCAGGACAGCTGACCTCGTCTGCCGAATTCACGTTCGTCCACGCTCCCTTCCCTTGTGATGATCTAGCGATAGTTTTTCCGGATGGTGAGGATGTTTACCTGGGAAGTAGACAATGTGTGGCTACTTCCTGTTGTGATATTGGTAAAATTACTTTGATGATATGATTTTTTATTTAATGATTCCTTTAGATATTTTGTTAAAGTGAAAATCACCTTTCTGTTTTTTAAACATTTTACATTGTTGGAATGAAAGCTACTTTGATGTTACTTCCTATCAGATAAAGTTAAAATTGTCTAGGTTTGTTTCCTTGTATTCCCATCATAAATGCTATTAGAACTGTAACCGAGGCAGAACCATCTTTGAGAGCCTCCTCTCACTGTTCTCCACAATTGCTGGCCTTCTAATAATAAAGCTCATTGGACCTAATCCTTGTCTTTGCATTTGGTTGACAGTGACAGGCTGCCAGACCTGCTTCGTCTGGTGACACACCTGCCAGGATGTTTGCATTTTACGCTCTCCATTTTCTCTGTGCTGCTTCAACAGCACACCTGATTTGGGTGTGTAGAGATGAAATTCAAGAAAACATGACCTAGGCTTTATTTCAAATTACACTGAAGATCAGTACATCTCATCCACGTTCCCCCCCCCCACCATGTTTGTAACGTACTGTTATGACACACAACCGGGAGAAGGTAAACGTCCTGTCAATCACGATCCCTCTTTATTATTTTTAAGGAGGGCCAGTTTCCATTATCAGAAGCAGATAAGGAATACCAGCACCCATTTTTCATTCAAAACAAAACGCTTAGCTTAGCTGGGAATGAAGAAAAACTATCAGGCAGTAGCTTTGTTTTTTTTCACAGTGGTAACAAAGTCACAATTCAAGGTCAGAGGAGATTCAAATGTGGTTCCGTTGGGTTGCTTATATATTATGGATAGAGTGGGCAGACAATTTCCTAGCATTAACTTTGGTTTTCCAATACTTCTTTTTTTCCTAAATGGGAGATGAGATGCAGAAACCTGACATTTTTTCTCCCCTTCCTTAATGGTAATTCATTTTTACATCATCAACCTAGAGATTTTCGTACTACTTTGAGGTAAACTTTTCTTACCCCAGTTTTTATGCAATTAATCCTATTTCACAACATGTAAAAGGGTTGGTGCCACATGAAAAACAGGTGACTTAATGAGTAAGTGAGCTTGCACAGCGTGAATCAGCACCAATAATAGCCAGGCTTTGTCCTGTTCATGGTCTCTGCAATGCTAAAAGTGCCACCTTCCAGACCAACAGATAGGAGGACCTCATCTGCTCAAATGTCCCCAGGCAAATTCATTTCCCCTTTCATCAATCTTTTCCATTTCTTTTTCTTTCTTTTTGAGACAGAGTGTCATTATGTTCCCTCAGTAGAGTGCCGTGGCATCACAGCTCCCAGCAACCTCTAACTCTTGGGCTTAAGCGATTCTCTTGCCTCAGCTTCCCAAGTAGCTGGGACTATAGGCACC